GTAATGCACTTGGGAGCAATGCAGCTGCTGGATGGACTCCTGACCATGTCTGAACTTGCACAGGTGAGTACACACAGGACTGATGAGGTATCAGACCACTGGCTTCTCAGCTGCCTTGTACCTCCCTACATTTGGTCTTTGCTCACTGGACATAACATGACAGCCACATGACGTGATGTAATATCACTACAAAACAGGATGCAGAGAAATTAACAGGACTTTTTGTAGACAAACCCCCACATCAGCCCATCCCTTAAGTGCACTTGCTTTCCTGGAGAGCTCATCTCGTCATGGGTGGTAAATCAGGGACAATTAAGCAAAGTGGTACTCTGCAAATACCAAAACAATGACTGCAGAGATTATAAACAGGCTATATTTAATTAAATCAGTGTTCCAGTGTACAAGGAGATGAAGTCTGAGTAAGACCTTTTACCAGGTACTATAATCCTGTTTTACAAATAATTGAAGAACTTGTGGGGGTCATGAACTTTAGACAGCTTCTTTCCAAATAATTAGGGATTAAGTTATACTAAAGAAATCCTTCTCAAAACAAATATAAAGCCACAAAAACTTTTGTTTTGCTAATTAGGTTGCCATCGTTATACTGATGAAGAGACACGAGAGAGTGTAGGAGGTAAAACAGGGGGCACTGTAACACAGATAGAATGAATGCAAGTGTTAACAGACTGAGTGGCTTCATCCAGAATCTGCCACAGGTCTTAATCCCAAATACATCAGAAACATTTAAAAACATGTTTTATGTTTTTCAATGACTCACAGTGTGACCCTGCATGTCGTCTGGCCTGTCTCTTGCTTTTTGTCACTGTCTCTACAATTACCAACACTGCTTTTGTAAATTCTCTGGACGCGTGTGGGAAACAGTTCTGTGGAAAACCTTCTGCATTCACTATCTCCAGGACACATCACCACCATTTAAATCAAGGTTTGGGCCCTTTTTTTGTGCCTGAGCCTCAGCTGACACATTCAAGCTCCATGCAGAATATATAAGCATCTGTGGCAATGCCCTGCTCTGCGTGGTCCTGGCAGTGACAGCCAGGACCAGAGGAAGGGATGTGCCCTGCCTGAGCAGTCACATTTGTTGTGGAGACAAGCAGGAGGGTATTTTTAACAGAAGACACTTCCTCTGCTGGTCTGGTAAAGCCCAAGGCTGGTGACCTTGCAGGCACAGTGCAAACCCCATCTGTTTCCCGAGGAGATGAAGGGTATTTAAGCAATGCAGGTGATGACACTTTTTTTGTTTTATTCTTTGGGACAGTTTGTTTTGTTGTTTCTAAACTGAGTATGTGCAGTCTTTTATTTTCCAGTGAATTGTCCGTGACATTTTGAAAGATTTTATACAACAAAATTCCAACAACCATGTAGGTGAAATACCCACAATGTGCAACTGTAATTAAGACAGGCTACAAAAAATTGATTTATTGCATCACTTCCCTCTAGAAAAAAAGTTAATGAAACCAAATCACAAATAAATTAGAACCCTTGGGGAAACTTGCCCTCTCTTTACTCCCTGAAAATGGAGCAATTAACCAAGCATGCATTTTTTAGTAGGTAAGGGGGGAACTGCTTATAATCAAGGCCACATGTTCTATTTTCAAGGACCTTGGGAGATCTGTCACATTAGGTGAAACTGTCAGCATCCCTTTAGTGGAACAAACCAAGACGATGTTTTCCTATGCTGACCTGAAACAATGCAGTCAGGAGTACTGCAAATCCACCCCCATTTTAGAAACAAAATGAGTGAACTACCTGTGAGAACGAGATAAACCACAAGAGAAAACCTCCCCAGGTAAAATGGACTCATCTCTGCCTCAGCCTGCCTGCAACGGCTCCAAGAGAACCTGTGCAAGACATCATGGACCCTGAAGGTCCTCTGCTTTTGAGGTAATGTTGGGAATTTGTTAATCAATTAAAATAAAAGCCAGAAAAGCACTACTTATGTCAAGTCGTGCATTAAAAAATCCAGCATATACAAGTGTAAAGTTGCAAACTTTTGAAATCCAAACACACTAAGGACCTTAGTACCAGCACCATGTGAGCTAAATGTAATGCAAAGGAGTCAAACATAAATTCTGCCAGTTTTCTAAGATATTTCAGGAATTTCTGAACACATAGGCAGGCAGAAAATAGCACCAAAAATCTGTGGCATGTAGCATGTTTCACTGCTTAGGTGGAAGGAGGAACCACGGCAATAATGAAGGTGGTAATTCTTATGATGTGCACTCTGAAGAAAAAAGGTGCTTCGGTTTCAGAGATGCCAGCTGCCTGGCACCTTTTCAAAAACACAGGTTTTTGACTAAGAGGCCACTCACTGGCACTTTGAGACAGTCAAGCAACTGGTGCCACCAGAGCCAGCCCCAGGGGACTATCAGGTGTCTGCGAATGGCATATGCCTCCTGCAGCAACTGATGAAAACCACAACACTTTGAGGACCTCAAATCTGCTCAACACTAACACCTGAGCAACTAAGTGAGTGATTAGCTGGACCAAAATTCTGGGCTTTCTGGCTGCTAGAAGCAGGAGGGTACTTTCAGATACATAATGTGAATTAAGAGTGAGTTTTAATTGGATGCCCTTGAGTGCAGTGTGTAGTTTGGGGTTTTTTTCTGTTCCTGGTTTTTTCTGAAACTCGTCTATTAAATCATTCTTCAGAGGTTTTTCATATTTTGGGGGAAAATAAATGTTCAGGCTATGCGCAGCTTTAATGAAGAACAATTTTCTCCCAACAAAAGCTTAGCTTTTCTACTAATATGCAGAGTACTTGTGTGTCTGGTTAACATCAAGTCAGTCTCCTACTCAGACATCACAAGTAAAGACAAGCGAGAGCTGCTATCAGCTAGACTATCATCTCAGCTACACTCCTCCCTTCAGAAAACCAAATAATTTATTTCTAAAGGCATGCATCCCTGACACTTCTGAGCAACACTCCTTGCTCTGCACAAATCTGGTTGTTTTGAAGACAGGTATCCAGAAGATAACGCAGGTTTTCATGGGTACTGGCTACATGTATTTTTTTAAGCCTATTTTCAAATAGTACACTGCCAAAAAAACAACATTTGCATTTGCCAAAGGGTCCACAGCACCAAAGTAGCCCCAAGTACAAGTCGCCTGCAGCACGGCTGGAGCACATCACGGACATGACACGGCCCTGGCCTGCAGGAGCTCTGCCTGCTCATGAGGGTCTCTGCCAAGCACTGCCAGGCCCTTGGAGCAGGGAAATCAGCCGCTCAGCCACGACAGCACCGATGTGCCTACCCTGGGCCAGCACAGACTTTTTAAGCCCAATCAAAGAGTAGTGCAAAATGCATAATATACTGAATTTTCAGATCTGATCCAGGCATAGAGAAGCAAGCTAATGTCCCTTAAGAACCTCTCTAGAAGTCAACACTTATGCACACCAGATGTGATTCCAAGCTCTAATGACAGAAACCCATGTACTAGAGACATCTTGGCAGGCCGCTGCAGAACAAGCAGTTTCCAAGGCAAAGTGCCTTCCCTGGAGTACTGCAGTAATAAGCACAGCATAAGGATGAGTCCACCCTTATTAACAGAGCTAAACACTTTGTCTTTTCTGACCAAAGGATGCAGCTGCTAACATACAAAGATAAACAAGATACCAAGGAACACACGTGTGCCTGAGGCAGCAGGAGTTGACCCTGGAGGATCCATGGGCCAAGAAACTCCAGAGTACACTGCACAAGGTTTTCACAAACATTTACTTCAGAAGTTAAACTTATGAGCTCAACAGCCATAGCAAACTACAGGCAAACTGTTCAAGTAACTGAATGTATGACACAGTGACAAAAGGAATGGAAACTGCCATATTAGAGTCAATGAGAAAAGGGACTCCACAACAGAGAGGCAGTTTAGAAATAGATCTTTATCAGCTTAAATTGGTGGAAAACTAAGCATTGTTTACGTTTTTGCAGCATGCAAACTCTTCTTGCAGAACTCACAGTCCTACCTGAATAATTGCTGTTCATTTTCACTAGTTAATTAGAGATTATTTGCAATAGAGAGAGCGAGAAAAGGAAAAAAAAGGCACTTAAAAGTACTGATAAACATTTCTACAGAAAAAGTTTGGAACATTAATGATATATCTCAGTTAGTCCCCATACCTTGCTGGCTTTGGCTCTGTTTCCTCCATTGTTTCTCTTTGTGACACTGGGGTTTTTGCTGTTAGAAGATGTGATTTGTGTGATTCCCAACATGCTCTGTGTTGGCTTGGCTGGGATTCTCACATACAAGCTATGAATTTGGGTGTGATGAGGAGCAACAGCCCCTTAAAGTCAGCCTACAAAGACACCAGTACTGGCAGAGGATTGCATCCTGTGGAAGCCCAGCAGCAACTGGACCAACACTTCCTGCAGTGTGCATGGTTTATATTGTTATATAAATGTAAATATAATAGTTAACAAGTTGGTATATTGGCAGGTTCACCCAATATCTTTGCTATGCAGCTTCTGATCAAAAAGGAGTGCTTATTTCCTTATATCATTAGTTTTATGACTGAACTCAATAGAGTCTTACTCCTCAGAAAACTGTACATTTGATTTGGTCTTTCTGAGGTGCTGAAATTATAAATGTAATCTAAAGTTCATCTTCAAACAACAGAAAAAATGAACAATAGGCTCATCTCTCTCATTTCTCCCCATGATATTCACTTATTAGTACTGCATGAAGCCAGCACAAAATTCAGAAAGTAGCGATCCAAAAATACTGTCAATGACCTCCAGAGCAAAGAAATGGCATGAGGGTGATGCTGCCTGGGTCTGCTCAGATCTTTGCTCATGGCAGGACTTTCACAGGGTGCTTGCTGCAAGCTCCTCAGACAGGAGTGAGAGGTGCCAGAATGGAGGCGACGGTGCCTGGAGAGCAACTCTTTCCACCAGCAGGCCTCCACAGCTACCCCAGATACACTTTATTTACAGATACACTTCCTTTTTGTTTAGCTTTAATAACAAAAAGGCGGCTGTACTCACTGAATGTGCGGATGACATCGCTCGGTGTACTGGCAGGGCTGGATCCAAAGGAGTTTGCTGCTCGGATGGCAAACTGATACTTCGTGTTTGGGAGAAGTCCTTTGAGAACCATGGACTCCATCTGGATCTGCTCTCTTATTACCGTCCAGTTGCTGTCAAGGTCTGGCCTTGAGGATCAAACAAAGACCAGATCTTGAATAATTAAAGCTGGCTGTATAAATTAGCTGCATTTATACTTTTCTAGGGAATGCACTAATAAATGAGACAGAAGTCTACTAAATCATCACTGAAACCCTTCACTCTTAAAGGATCAGACTGTGCAACCCACCATTACCAAGCTGCAAAGCCTGTGATGTCAAAACTGTACAATCATATGAACCAAATTACTCAGATTTTGCTTATAAAGTGAAGGAATGACTGACAAATCCAGTTAAGTTTATCTGTTCTGTGGATTTTGGATTCATAGTTTCCAAGTGGGGGTCTATTACCCGCAGTTCCCACTGTGTGTATACAGCCCTATGCGGCTGTGTTAAGCAGTAGTTTGCAACAGAGGGAAAGGTCTTGATTTATTTTTTAAGAGTTTGTGTTCTAATACCAGTAAGTCCCTTCAAACATATACAAGCATTGGCAAGATGAGAATCCAACATTTGATCTCCCAGGTAATCAGGTTAATCCACTTACATAGGAACATACGAATCTAAAGTCGTCTCTTCAGAAAAACAGATGAAAGAAACAACCCAAACAAAAAAAGTCCAAACAAAATCACCAAAAAAGCCCACACGGACAACCCACAGAACATTAGTACAGAGAACATGGCCCAGGTACCTGGATTCTGTAATAACATTCCTATAGCTGCTTTTGGACAATGCCTGGTTAACTCCTGATTCATACTGGAAGCCAACTGCCAGTAAGTACTTCTCTAGGTGCCATTATATTTCCAGTGAAACCAGTTTAACCATTCACATGGCAGTTTGTTATCAAGTGTTTTTTAAGTTCATGTATACAGGCACATTGTAATGGGGTAGGCGACTTCAAGTACTCTGAGAGAGTATTCTGATGCTTTCACACCATTTCCACTGTCCAAAAGTGGCCTCTTCTTATCAAAGAGAGAACAAATACAAACAGCACAATAATGTAAACATTCACTCTAGGCCACCCAAAATATTAAAATTAAAGTTTATGAAAGTAAAATAAGGACAGAAATAGCTTTCAGAGAAAATTATTCCAGTGTTCTTGCAATATTTATTACAGGAAATAACCTCCAAGTGCACTCTGAATCTACCAGTGTTTACATAGGACTAGCTGCAAATGTCTCCAACAGTCTTCAAATTAAAAATTATAGCACAAGGCAGGCATTTTGTATTTGTTTATTTTCAGCTGGAAGGAAATGCCAAAGTTAATGTATGTTTTCTTTTAGTGGTCAATACAAGATTTATTGATCACTGAGGTCCATTGCTTTGTGCCAGCAAATGCTGTGGCAAAGCACTAGCTCCCAGCTGCCTGTCTCAAGTGCACAGTGGCACACAGGACATGAGTATTTCATTGTCTTGCTAAAAATAAAAACAAAATCAGACAAACACACAAGATGTAATGATAGCTAAACAGACCATCTTAAGTCACCCTTCACCACCATTTCCTGGTAGACAGAGGAGCATTTATTTTGGCTACTCTTCCATTGTTTCCCTCCTCTGAGCTTTTGATGCCTGGGCCAAAATGAAAATATATAGTGCTTTCCAAATAAAAGCTGTTAACATTGCCTCCTTCCAAAGGCTCGCTTAGTAGTGTTTTCAGTTTTCCTGTACACATCCTTTTTTGGGTCTAATTCCCATCCAAGGAATTCCTGCTAGCTCAAGAGCTGCCTCTTTGCAACAGACCTTGTCTGTCTGTCCACCCAAGTGGAAACAACACACCTTTGATGAAGGGACCCAAAGGAGGCATTGCACCCTGAAAAGATCTAGGAGATAATGAAAACAGCAGGCTAGGCTTCAAATACACTCACTGTCCCTCCCAATATTTCCTTCTGCAGAAGTTTATAATAAAGGAAATGCCTGCAAACATGTAAGGATCTGCAGCTGAAGGAGAGGGAAAGAGGGAGATTTATCACTTGACCTTTGCTACTTCTCCAGAATGCTCCCTGTGTGAACAAAACAGTATGAGATGAAAACATGGCAAACAGATGGGGAAAGGAACACAAATTCAGCTGGTGAGTGCATCCAGGGCAAGCCAGCTCCCATGTTCCCTGAGATGAGAACACTTTGTTGAAAACTGTCTTCATGGTCCTTTTTTTTTATGTTGTACTTCAATGTGTTGCCAACTTTTACACTGTAAAGGCTCATTCTGACACCACTTTTCTCATTTTCCTGCAGCAGTACCTTCCCCAACACAGAGACCAACACCTTGCAGGGCAGCTCCAAGCACTGTATCTGTGAATGGGGAAATCAGAAAACTTCCATGGACACTGCCTGCTCTTGATGCATCTGTGCATCTCCAACACATAAATGCTATGCAGAAAGAATGTAATACACGTCATAGTGGTTTTAAGATAATAAATATATGGCTAAAGCCAATAGGACTGGATGGGTATAAACCAAGGGCAGAATTCCATACCAAATGTAGCCAAAAAGTTTGGATTATTGCTTTATGTTGTAACTTGGGAACTGATTCAATTCAAGAATGGAATTCTTTCTGATGCAGAGAACAGCAATTTTATAGTCACTTAAACTTCCTTTTAAAATCACCTGGAAATTATTTAAGTGTGAGGCATCCCCTAGCAATCCAATTTTTCTAGTGTTTCTGATTATTCTTCTGTGCCGTATTTGCACTCATCTCAAGGGGGAAATTCATCTTATAGTGATTTTAAAAAGTATTCCAGCAAATAATAAATACGATGACAAGTACAATGCATCATCATTTACGATGGAAAAATCTCTTGCATAATACACTGCACATATTATTTTTAGTAACTATTATTATTTCACATTATTGTGACACTTTGTACAAAATAGATCAACTGATATGCCAGGTCATCTGTGAGGAAACGAAAAGTGAAAAACTTTGGTAACTCATTCTCTTGTTAGATATTCTTCTGATACAATCTAATATTGTCAAGCACTTCCTCCCTAATATCTTTCACTCCTCCTTCTTCACCACTTACCTTTTCAAGGAGTTAATCTCACAAGCAGTGAGCTAAATACTGAGTCAAATATGCCTATTTCATGCAATAATCAAGGAAACAGTATTAAAAGTATTTTTTCCTAGACACTGGGAGGTGTCTCCCTGGTCAGATCTGTTGTTTCAGGTTCTTTGCAAACAAAAGCAAACAATGACTGTCTGGTTCAGTGCAGTGCCAGAGACAGACAGTTCAGCAGGGAACGGATTCAGGGATAGATTTTTCTGGGAGGGAGAGGGAATGCTTCAAACTAATCAAGAAATCTGTGCACAACACTATGCTAAATCTGCACTACCCTAACATCTGAATACTAATAAATCTCCCAGTTTTATCAGCAGAACCTGCCTAGTTCATTGCAGCAGAAGTTTCATGTCACTACCAAGATACTGAAAAATTTCCTTTGCATGCCAAGATTAATATTAAAAGCATTTGATTTCATCAAATGAGATGAAAAGAAAGTGACCTGATTGTTTTAGGGTATGTGCTGCTGAAACACTTGTGGTTCTGTAGCTGCTATGTGGCTATAAAAATTTGGATAAGTTAATCACCAAGTTAAAAAGATCATGTAGGTATTCAACAGATTAAAAATTTGAGTATTTAGAATATTTGAGTGAAAATATCCAAGATATTTATAAGAATTAATTTTGCATAGCATCTTCAGGAAAAACATCTAAGCTCATGTGCTTAAGTCTGGGGTCTCGCTTTAGATACTTTCATTAAAATGTAATTTTTCATTAAATACTTCTCACTGTTAACCAATAGTATATTTACACTGAGCCTACAAAGTTGCACAGACATATATATTTTGGTTTTATATATTTTGTGCATTCTACTGCACATTCCCTTAGAACTGTCCAGTGAAGAGTGAGTCCTACAGTCTCCCTCCGTACTTTCAGTATTTAGACAAGTGGGATTGTGATCTCCTTAGCATCCTCTGTTAGTCAGCAGCACAGCGGAGCCTGAATTAGCTCAGTTCATCTTATATCTGAAGCTGCCTGCTACCCTCCACTGCCTGTAGGGAACCAACTACTTCCTTTAGTCCTAAGGGGAATGCCTCAGGCAAGTGCTTAAATAAAGCACCAAATTCAGACCCTGAGTAGAGACAGGATGCAGGCTAGCTCTGGTTCTGATTAGATTCTGGTATCTCAAAACAATTAACATACTTAATTGAATGTTTTCATGAATGTTTTGAGAGTTTTCATGAATGCAGTGAATTTTCCCAGTATCACAGCTGAGCAATTGAGAGGAGTGTTTTGTCCCAACATGTTTTTCCTATGGTTAAAATAATAAAGTTAATTTTAAGGAGATGGAAATTGCTTAAACAATGTCACAGTTTTTAGACATTTGTGCTGTGCCCAAGCAAAATTACAGATTTGCATTAGAAAGTTATTAATTTTGCAAAATCAGAGGACCCATTTCTAATTTACTTGAGCTGATTATTTTTAGTCTTACATTGGTTTAATTTACTAGCTTTAACTCATGATAATACATTTTATAGTAATTCCAACTATATGCAGCAAAAGACAACGAAGCTTAAAGTAAAATGTTTACCTTTAGCTGCCATTAGGGCTTATGGCTCATTGAACTTACTCCAAATATACAACCAAGCTTCCAAGTCTAAGAGAGCATAATCCCAAGATTAACAAAGGCACTTTTGACTTAGCTTTAAACCTCAAACTAAACAGTGTAATCAAAACATTTTGCTGTTAGCAAATTCTTTCCCAAAGTCTAAAGCCAATGAAACACCGAAATTTCAATCACTTGCATCTTTTGACCTAAACAGCAGCTTTCCACTCCCTGACGGAACAAAAACATCCAAGGGTGCACTTTCAGTGTGTCAGATGGAGCTGACAGTGCCCACTTCTTCCATTAGCAGGCTCCTGGTGCTATGAAGAAATGTACATAAGCCTCCAGGTTCCACTGTGCAGTCAGTCAGAACGCAACAAAATCCCTTCCCCATCAACTGAGCAAATGAGAGGGAAGAGATGGAGAGAGAGCAAAAAGCTCAGATAAAAACTGCAAAAAATAGATATTGAAGAAATTTCACTGTAGGTCTACAGCAGACATTACACAAAGGAGATAAGTATCTTCGGGCCCCATGTCCTTCCTCACAGTGCACTGAATTGGATGGCCTCCAACTAAATATGGGGGCTTTCAGCCCAAACACAAAGTGCATCAGTTAACAAGTAGGTTTTCAGTCTGGGTATTCTTTTTGCTATATCAGTATCTTTTTGCTATCTCAATATCTTCTAGATTGTACCCATACTTTGAAAATCGAGTTCTTCCTGTGTGTTCTAACAACAATTATTTTTTAACAATTACTATGTTTTCCTTAAGAACAATTTTTTGACCTTTTACAGATCAGAGTAGTTTAAGAATCGATTCTCTCTTCTTTTCCAGGAACCTCAGCTAAAACCTGTGATCAAGTATTTGCTCAAAGGATTCAAAGAATGAATTTTACATTCACTATAAGGGTAAACACTGAGACAAATAAAAATATATAGATTTGTATGCAGATATTAGCTCACACAAGCATATGTCAAGTACAGATCCTTGTTTATGCTTGCAGATACAATCACCTCCTCCTGGCCCTTTTTATGCAGCTTATAAAAGCAATTTGACTGGAAACTTCTGACAGTTCAGTTCTAGTGCTGCAAATTTTAAGAGTTCATCATAAAAGAACAAAAAAAGCACCCCACCAACACTCCACTTTTCCCCCTAGATCTAAATAGAGAGATCAACATTCCATTTAAACTTGATTAGCATTAGCATAACAAAGCAAGCCTAAATTCTGCAATTCTTTATGTTCTAGAGACGTCTGGGTCTGGCACTGGGTTATGTGATTTAGTCATTTAGGGCTACAGTGCTGGGTTGATGACTGGATGATCTTGAAGGTCTCTTCCAAAACTGGTACTTCTATGATTTATAACTTTTGTCAGGTAAAACTGTCCAACACACTGAATTTTCAGTCCTTGGATTATTTTCTAAAGTAGCCCAGGGAAACCGCTCTGCCAAACATTCTTTTCTCAGCATGGTTTGACAGCATTTGATGACAGGAGAAACTTAAAACTTGATTAATCCAGGCTGCTATTAGAAGAAACAGATCAAATCAGACTTTATTTTTCTTCCATCAGAAAGTACAACTTGTTGGTGATTTTACAACAAATTGGATCCTTTCTGGTTTTGTCTTTAAATTTCCATGGTAATTCAACACACACTGAGAAGACAACTGAGCATACAATACACAGTAAGTAAATAAATCATATCTATATGCAGTTGAATAGTGCAGTTGAGGTTAAAAAAACCCCAAAACACGGTAGTGCACAAACACTGAAATTCAGACTTCACTAGCAAACTTGCCTGATAAACTCCACCATGTAGTACTGGATGGGGGAACTTCCTTCACTCACTCCAGGCTTCCAGGACAACGCAACTTCTGAATCAGAAACCACCACGATCTGGGGCTGATAGGGTGGCGCAGGAGGCATGCACTTATCTAAGAAGAAGTGCAAAGGAGTAGCATTAGAGAAGCAGCTGGGTTGCTACACACAATACCCAACACCCACAGACTTAGGAATCAAATTCCTAGGCTTCTTCCTTTACGCTATTGCCCCTCTAAAACCCTACATATGTGGAAAAGTACCAGTGAAATACCGTGATACTGCACATGACAGAGGTTAGGTGTGAGTGCACAGACATCTGCCCTGCCAGTTTTGCAGCAGAGCCCGGCAGGCAGAGTTACCTTGGGATAAAGTTGTCACCTCCCTGGGCATGCTGGGCCGTCCTTTCCCCGCCCAGCTGTACGCTCCAACGCTAACGCGGTGCGGAGTGCCTGGCTTCAGGCCGCCAATAACAACATCCTGCCAAGTCAAGAGCAGAAAAGCACACTGTGATAGCAGTCTGTAACTGGGGATGGTGCTGGGAGCTGGGACTCAGGGATCTTACATGGTGTTTTCCCTGTACTCTACTTGGAAGATTGTCCCCTGCCCAGTACAGCTCAGAAACAACAAACACAAATAGAATCATGTTTCCTCTCAAGCTGCAGCTTTGCCCCAGGGGAATCCACAAGGTTGACCTGGACCCATTTCTCCACATAACTCATAAGGTTGCAGAAATTTGCATTTTATATCCAGCTTTTTCACTGGTGAAGTCAAAGTCACATTATTCCCTCTGTTGAGCCAAATGCTAGCATTTGGTATCAGTCTGGTGTGTTTTCCCCATTTTGTTTTCTTGTTTGTTTTTATTTCTCTTTTAAATTCAGAGGCCATAAAACCTCCTGAGAGTAAAGCAATTTGATGCAGTGTGAACTGATGATCCTTAATTTCTCATGGAGCAGAGCCCTATCCCATCATCTCTCACAATTTTATGAGCTCAGCTAACAGCCTTGACCTGAAGCGAGCATTTCCCTTATATGTCCTTCTGCCATAAATACAGAAAGATTAACCCACAGACAGCTACCACAAAGGAGGTAATGCTCAGCTCCATGTGAAGAGCTCGGGCTGATGAATACTCTTCAGAGGAGCCTTCAAATCCCCCAGAAAACAGAAAACATCACCAAAACATTACACTTCATCACTGGCTGCATGGATGAGCCTCAGACATTTAGATCTGGTCTTTAATGGAGAGTACGTACATGTGTAATGAAATTTAGTATTCTTTACCTGCAGCCTACCTGGAATGACTATGTTAATCCCAGGTTTATGAAATTTGACAGTATATACAAGGAAACAGAAATATCAGGTTCTATACCACAGACTGTTCTCGTGTGAAGAATAAGCACTTACAAAAAGCCTGTTTTACAGCTATTATTCTTCTGGTTTTCATTCTCTGATATTAAACACATTAGTCACAGTGCATTTGAAAATGTAGAGTTCTCCTTTTTCTTCGTGTTGGAACAGACTTTAAATCTGCACTTCCAGTTGTGTTAAAATAGTAAACAATCCCAAAATTTTATGAACTGATAAATTTCCTTTTGATGGTCTTTTGGGAAAAAACACTTCCTCTCTACTCTTTGGGGAACTTACATTATTACTACAACATTGTCCAGCAACACCCTGCTATCAGTAGGGTCCTGTTATTTCTCTGGATGTGGTTTTGGAGTTCCAACACTGATTTCCTATTAACATGGACCACCTGACCACTATCTTGTTTTTCCATCATTCACCCTTGTTATGCTTGAATGATCTGGACAGATCTGAGATGAATCAGAGATTATAACAATGAGGGAATAGTAATTGTCCAGAGAGAGGCAGAAGAACACTCACCCTGAAAGATTAATCTGGGTCTTTCAGCCTCATAGCTGAAGGGACTGAGATCTTTTACAATGTGATCTGAGAAGCCAGTTGCTGAAAACCCTGTACCTCCTCCTGGTGACAGAACTGATGCCCCAGCTCCTGCCTTTCCGTCCTCCATGCTATACATACTGTCTGTCTACCCTTAAACTATGTGCGTTTTTTCCTGCCAGTATTCCTCTTTATTTCACTCATGCTTATGAGGAAAAATCCTCCATTATCTGTCTTATTGTTTTCACAGTATTCAGGAACTTGGCCCTTGGAATCAGTTAGATATTCATGTATGTGCCTCATATTATTACCTCCAGACTCAAGTCTACAATAAACTGAACAGAGAATTTCTTTGAGTGCCTGGCCAGTCAAGATCAAAGCCCTAATATCTACTAAGGTATTCAGCAAGTTCAATGTATGTGCTCTCAAAACCTCACCAAGGTGTACTCATGCCTTACACACATGGGTACCTGCCTCCTCCTGGCAGTGCCCTCTCCAAGAACACAGCCCTGGAACACACAGTGGGTATCTCTGATAATCTTCAAAGATCAGGATATCAGTGAATAAGTAAAAATTCAGGACACCATCAAGCTACCCTGACCTGTGGCAATGTCAGGGAATAACATCCTCACACCAGGAACACTTTCAAATCAGATCCTGGAAAAAAAAAACACATTTCCTTGTGCCCCACTGTCCAGTAGCCTGGGAGTACACATTTAATTTATTTTTTTGCTTGTATTTAGAAGACAGGTCTTAAACCCAAGTTCTGTTCCTCTCACAAGAGACAGAGTGGCCTCACAGATAACAAATGCAGGTAGTATTTTGAAGAGTTATCTCCATAATTTTTGTAGTCCCCCCTCCACTCAGATTGGCTCTATATTTTGAAGCCTGATGCCCCAAACTCAACACTCAGTTGCTGATGATGCTTCAATAGTCACCAGCCTCACTTTCTTGCCTTGCATGACTCTCTTACTAAAATCCTGATAAGTGACATTTGGTATATTCATTACAGTCTCACATTGTTGAGATGGGGTGATGCCTTTTCGGTGGCAGGGGAGCCAATTTCACACAGATTATCCCCTATATCCCTCCCTGCCCTGCCACACAGCTTGCCTTCCCTACAAGTGTGTTGAAACTGTTTGTGAGGCTCAGTAAACTGCCTCACAGAAACCAGGATTACAAATTGTTTTCCAGAGGAATGTCTGTTTTCTGTTTTGCTTTAATCCAAAAAACATCAAACTCTGGATTACAGCACAGCTGCAGGAACTGAGCTGGTTTTAATGACACTGTCCCCTGGCGACAACTCCTTCCCTGAACTACTGGTCTCGGCTGGTCACTTCCCATTTTGTACTGGTATGTTTAGTGATTTCACAGGGAACAGTGTTGCTCTCCAGGGCTCTGTGCCCAGCCTAAAACCTCCCACCTTTAAAGCCTACTAATTTTTATTGATTTTTCTTGTTTTTTATGTGTACCAGAGTTCCTGAATTTTATGTCCCATCAGAACAACCACCTATACTAAATGGTACTGCATCTGCACTTCCCCTGGCTGCTGTCACTTACATATTCTCTACTTTACGATGATATAATACACAATAATACATTATCCACTTTGCTAACACACAGACACATAAACAGAAACAGGCAGTGCAAATCAGCTCTTGCTGCTACATCAGTCCCACGTGGCCCAGAGAAGCCTCCAAGAAAGCAGCAGGGTCATACCCAGCACCAGGAGAGGAATGATGGAAACATTAACTATGCAGACTTAACCACAAAACTTTTGCAGATTTCTGTTGAGTTTGGTATGAATACAACAGAAAGCATTTCATCAAGAACACCACTTCCTGGAGGATTAATGACAGCTGGGAGCTGATTAATCCCAGCCATTCATACTTCTCCACAAGTACCCCTCAGAAGTGTTATTTTTATCAAGCAGAAAAAAAGTGCCCAGTATGGAACCTCAATTCTGAAATGCCATAATCCAGACTCAGCTCAGCTAGGATTGAACCAGATAGTCCTAGTTCAAGTGCATCCCGAGGACTCAGCCTCCTGTAGTCCAAACAAACTCAACTTACTTCAGACCACAGAAGCTCTATGGGCTCCACCAACCATGTAAGATTTCTCTATTCCTAAAACAGCTCTCAGAAAACAAAAGTTTGCAAGAGGCTGTTGATGCTAGGAATTTCAGCTAAACACTGGAATTGCTGTCCTTCTCCCATCCAAGCCCGAGCACCTCCTGCTTGCTTCCTGCTCACAACAAACCCAACCTGTTTACTGCTCACAGGAAGCAGACTGGACTGAGTGCAGGACTGGAAATAATCAATCTGATTAATTCACCAGCTGCAAAGCCATAAGAGAGTTGGTATTTCTTTCAAACTTGTTTTATACTAGTAGCTAGTCTCCCACTCCTTCCTCCTGGGCGTTGCAAGGCTGGCCTCTTCCTGTGCTCCTCCTTCTCCTTGGCTCTCTCTGGGCTGGCTCAGGTTTTTCCCTCTTCACCTTCTCTCCAACTGCCTGACTTTGTTCTTCCCTTCTACTGTCTGTCTGACTACCTGACTGTCCCCATAATTTCCAGACCCTCACTGCCTGGATATATCTCATTTTTTACACAAATTTACTTCATCAAAACAAGACATTCATAAATACCTCTGGTGACTGAGAAAAAGGTTTATCCACTGCTAAGAATGGAGCTACCTTACCTACACGTATCCACCTCGTCCACCTGTGGATTTTGATCTTTTTGAGGCTACTATCTGCTCCATTTTGACCAAAAAAAGATCATGTATAAGTGCTACATAGAATCAATATTTGAGATCCACTTTTGTGTGCATCTCTGGAGAGACAGAGTCAGAAATGTTCAATCTTATTTTTAATCACATCTGTGACCAGGTTTCATGTGAAGCAATACTTACAAAAATTGCTTGTCCTTCAAGTTGACCCTGGGAAAAAGCAAATACGACTTGTTAAGAACTAAAATAATAAAAAGTGATGGCAAAAGCACATAAATAATGGGTCAGGGAATTAAAACAAGACCAATGCTGAAGCATATAGCAGTCTGTGTGGCTGTTAATCATCTGCATGAGTACCAGATTTTCCTCTCCCAGTACTGCTGTCAGGATTAAGATTAAAAAAAAATAACAGTGCTGTTTGATCTTTCTCAGCACTACTAGCAAAACTAGTTTTTAAGAAACAAAAAAAGGCGAGAAAGGAACACAGAGATAAAGATAAGAAGGGAGAAAATAATGCATGAATAAAGAAATGATGTATCATGATGGCAATATTGTTTTATTCATTGTGATCCCAGATCCTGCAGAAGTCAGAATTGACAAAGAGAGTGACGGAAACCTGCAGGAAATCTGAGCATCCTCCTCACTCACACTTCTAGTGAGGAAGTGGGGCAGAAAAAGGGAAGGAGCAAAGAGAAGGGAAAAATGAAAAAAAACCCAAAAAACAAAAACCAAAGCAAGAATGCAAAGGAGATATAAAAGAAAAAAACCATAACTTTAAAAACAATGGAGAGAAATGAAAAAAGTAGTCCTTTCAAGAAGGAAATAAACACCAGTGGCTGGGGGAATCTTCCAGAATATGAACTTGCAGAACTGCAACTAAAGCGGCCATATTTCAGGAGGCCACAGTTCACAGAGAGGCAAAAACTCTGTGTGTGAGCTCACACAGCTGTGTCAGACACTGCAATACACATATAGTCATAGTGCAGCCACCCCTTCCATGTGTGAAAATGCATGCATTTAAGATTACAAGTTCTATTTTAGTAGATTTACTGACAAAGGTCAGTACTAGGAAGCTGAGAGCAAGTCCCAATAGTTTTACATGATAAAACAAGTAAGACAAGAAGGGGAAAAAGTGCATCACTCAAACACAAAAACACTGTGATTTCATTTTGCTCAATATCCAGAGCAGATTTGGGGCTTGGATCCTCACCATATTTCACAAAACTGCAAGGAGACAGTTGCATGTTTCCACTTGCATGTTCTGCTCGAGTGTTCTGATTGTTGATGAAAAGAAATACTCACCATGCTAATCATATCCAGACTCAGGGGAACATCGTGTGAGAGCTGTTTAACTGCTTTGTCACCTTCAACTTCTGAGTAAAAGACCTTGCGAAGAAGATACAGCCAAACCAGTTACAGCAATAACTCAGTATTTCAGAATAACTTAAGAATGAGTGCACCAGTGCATTATTCTCACACTGAGGACAGAATTTGAGCCCATGATGCCCTGCCTTTTCATATGCAGGGAAAGCTGAAGTCCTTTAATATTCCTTATGTATGTGCTAGAAGTTGTCAGTGTTACCAAAGGACACCATCACACAGTGAATACACTTACCTAATGTGAAACACAGTTGTGTGCTTGTAGCACAGGCCTGAGCTGTTTCATTGCGCATCATTTGTCTCTGGTTAACATGGACAGCTGGAGATTTGTGGGACTAGTCTGCACTATACAGACACCTTAGTTCATGCAAGAAAGATGTTGACATTTCATGATTATGACATTATAAAAATTGCTCTATCATAAAATGTCTCTCCATGTCTGTTGCCGTGTACTGGAGACTAATGAGACAGGCAATCTGCTTTCCTGTGCACACAGACCCAGAGATGCCAGAGGGTCAAGATACTACAGTGAAAACGTTTTGGGTAGAGCACTATTGATGCTGCTTGTCATTGGTTTTATGATCATGCCACGCACCAGCTCAGGGCTTGAAAAAAGTAGTGGAACAGCTTGATCAGCATGCATGAAGAGTGACCACTGTTTACTTAGGCCACTTACTCCCTGCACCTCTGTTTTCACAGAGAAGGGTGGACCCAGCTATGCACAAAGCCCACCTGAGGCAGCTCCTGGCCACAGCAAGTGCTTTTTGGAGTTTTAGACTCTATATGCTAGTTCATAGCACTTTCATAACAATAAAATGAACTCTGCAGCTGGGCTGCACTGGTGGGATAAAGGAGCATGTGTACCAGAAATACCTATTGCAGGGATTTTTCTCTTTCTCTTAGTGTACATTAATAATATAGAGCAGTAGTGATATTCAGTAGTATTCTGCTTCACACCTTTTTACATAAAACTGAATTTGGGGCATTTTATTCCTGAAAATTTCAAATCTGTCCACAGAAAATGCTAATAAGAAAACTGCTATTTGGTGGGGTTTTTTTGTTTTTGAAGGGGAAAGCAACACATTCTAGTCAACATCTCGCACCTTTGGTGCTAATTTCCCAGTGACTCACTTCTATTTTGGCACTGAGTTTCATTGCCATGGAATACCTGTTAAAACAATACCTAACAAAAATGAATGAATGGCATGTTCATGCTCATTGTTTTCCTTCTCGCACACTAAAACACAGTAACCAGTTTAGCCTAGCCCTTCTGTTTTGTCCTATAGGCAGAAGGTAACATGGCAGAGGCTTGATGGAGGTCACACACTTCCTGAAAAAATTGCTGAGAACAACAGAAAAGTCCTTCAGCTTCTTTAACAGAAACTGACTTCTGAGGTAGGGGGGAATAAAACAAAAGCCCTTTTGATATTTATGGCTGCAGGTGGGTTCCCAGGGATTCTATGCAGTACCTATCCAGGAAGAGTCTCCATGAAACAGTCCTTCCCTTGTACCTGGTGCAAGTCTGGCAAGTTTTAGAGGCTTAGTTTGAAAACATATTCCTGCTAAAGTAATCCTCAGGCTGGAAGTACAAGTCAAAGGATCTGCATGGCCCTCACTTGCACAGCGCAATATCGACCTGCTCTGCTCTGCTCTACTTTACTGTTTTATCAGAGAGCACTGAGACCCTTGCAGGAAAACTGTAACAGAAAAGCAACCTATATCCACTGCAGGCCCTTGGCATCCAACCCAAATTCCCATCATAGCTTGTCTCTAAAACATGAGCTGCTTGTTTTTTAAGGTTACAGCTCAGTCTGCTGAAGCCCACTGTCCCCTGGCCGCTTTCTGGGCAGCAGCACTGTTTGTGAGGAGAAGGGGCTGTCCTGCTGGTTTCAGTGTGTGCAGCCTGAGGCCAGGCAGCAGCACAGAGCAGCGCTTACCGTGTACCCCGTGATGGTGCTCGCGTGCTGCTTTGGCATCTTCCATTGCACGCTGAACGCTGTGCAGTTCACTGAATCCAGCAGAATATCCAGAGGAGGCCCCAGCCGATCTGCTCAAAACAAAATGGCATCATGTAAGGAGCCATAGGACAAACCCCCTCTCCTTTAGCTGCCTGGCAGGTATGTCTTTGAAAAATAGGCCTGAAGGATAGCTGCCCTGACTCCAAACTATCAAACACACACTACTCAGATTTGACTTGGGTGCCCCTTTTCCCTCTCCACTTCTGACTTCCAAGGTAGCAGTGGAACTCCAGGAGAGGGGGTGCAAAGGGGAACATCTCCTCTTCTTAGTGGGCAAGCTGTTGCTTAGCTTAGGAGCACCCAGTGCTTCATGCAATACCATTGAACAACTCATAGCCTTTTAAATATGTTCACGAAATGCTGGATACTACCCAGGACCCAAAGACAGGGACATTCACACTCGTACAGTACAGCTGTGGCACAGATTCAGACTACTGGGAAGGTCTCCCAGGAATGGTCTGGAAGGCAGCGCCTCTCACACACCATATCTGTAAGTCAGCATGGACATCTCTGGGGAAGGAAAATCCAAGAGAAGAGGATCTTGTGGAAGAGAGCCAAACCATGCCATGTTCCTTGGGCCATCATCAATTTTCTTCATTAGCACGGACTTAGTCCCATGGACTCCTGCTTGGCCCAGGGGCTCTGGACACAGCATCTGCTGCCTCCTATGCTCACCTTTTGCCCTGTACTCAGCAGTAGCTGGAACCACACACCACCTGCTACCTAAAGGAGTGGCAGGAGACAAGCAGCCAGGGCTGGCGTATCAGTGTCCACTTAAGAAGCATTTCACATTCAGAAAACAGCTTTCCAATCTCCACAACACCCAATGAGGCAGATTAGCATTTCAGCTGCATTAGCATTATTAGAAAGAAAGAATACCCCCTAACATTCAGTCTTAACATATTCATAGCATCCTTGTGTTACTTTCTGGGGAAGCTCTATGAGACAAATTTGCTGGAAGGCATAGTTGCTGAAATAATGAATTTTAACCAGCAATGACAAATAGTCATGTAAGGCAAGTTTCAAATTCATATTCTGGAAGCACTATAGGCCAATAACATTATTTACTGAAAGTATTTGGTGAATAATTTGGAACAACAAATAAATTTTAACAAAATGCAATCCATTTGTAGACTATCTGCAATCAGAGAGACGACATCTGTTTTATAAGGAGCCACATAATGAATTATTCACTCAGCCCTAGAAAACACTACTATCTCCAGGTTGCAGATGATGAAAGAGACACAGAGAGCAAAACAGTGACCTCAGTTACACTGGCCTATAAATTGTCACTGTGGAGTAAATACAAAGCCCTGGACTATGCCAGGGAAAACAATAGCAAGGAGCCAGAGACCGCTATATTTTTATTCTCCCTGTTTAGTTATCCCTAGAAGTTAGGGAATTCCCCTAACATAACAGGAATGTGGCTGGATGCTTGCTTAGAAACCAGCTGTAAGTGCCATCAGCCCTAGCACTGTCTTTGCAAGCAGCCTCAGGTGATGGCCAGCGCTCACCACAGCACTGCATGCTGCCCTCTCCGTGACAAAGCCGGGTGACAGGCAGGCACATGGCACTCACACTGCAGGGGACCTGCTGCCTCATGCCCAGACCAGGAGCCAAGAGGAAAAAGAAAGCCAGCGGCAGCTGTGACCCATGCACCCAGTTATTTCCTGGGGAGGCTAGAGGGCAAGGCAGAGAGGAGTATCTCATGCAGCGTGGCAGTCCCAGAGTCCTCTGCTGTCACCACTCCTGGCCTGACAGCTCGGTGATGCGCGTCTGGGGATTCAGAGTCACTTCTGGTTGTCAGAATCTCTCACAACCTGGCAGAAAGTAAAAAATGTCCATTTCTGGACTGAACTTTCCCTTCTCAGCCATGGCAAAGTGACGGCAGGATCTGACACAAGCATTGTTTCTGGCACTGAGCTGCAGGAGATGTCATGGCTTTTGAACAACCATATCAAAGCAGTTTGTCAGCTGACCACAACTGCTGCAGCACATGTCACTGCTCTACTGACAATCCATTTTGAGATAAATCTGAGCTTAATGTATTTTGCATGATTTTACAGAGCATCATGTATTAGTCACACTAAACACAGACATTGAAGCTGGTCTAAACATTTACATCTTTATGTCAAATGTCATGTTTAGACTATTAAAAATAATAAAGATTTTTCAAGGGTAAAACTCTTGGGGTATTTGTAGTTTCTCCTACAATTGGGGTCAGAAATACCTCTTCTCAAAACTCAGAGTGAAACCTCTGTCAATCTGGTAGGACTAGGGACAGTGCAAAACCACAACAGAGCCTCCTCCCCTCTGCACCCCGTGGATGGGGAGTCTGCAGACAAGGGGGGTGAGACATATCCACTACTTGTACATGCTCTGAAGATCTGCCTGAGTGATGATCCTCCTGCCAGGGCCCTCTGCAGCTGGGTCAGTGAATACCTAAGAAGGCATGGAGATTTGCTCTGATCATAAAGAACAAGGAGCCAATTTATATACACAATGAAATTAAACATGTTTTGTACAAACACAGTCGTTCTCCTTTCTGGCCCATCAGGCACAGAAAGTTTGATACTGTCCAAAATGCTTTTATGGTAATGGGAGCAATGACTCTAGTGCCATGCAAAGAAGCCATGAATCAAGGGGGAGCACTCTCACACATATTATGACTATACATTGTGAAAGTATATGAAACACAAGAACTTAATGAGGATTTAGCCTCATTAGACAAACAATGTTGAGCTGATAATGTTGTGTTTACTTTCCTGTTTACAGCTACTTTCCTTCCTGTTTATACGTCTTTGGTTCCATCCTTCTAAAAATATGCAAAAAAACACCAAGCCAGTAAAAAAGTCACCAAAGAAGCCCTCCAAGTGAGCTGAAGAATACATAAGTCTCCCTGAGATGGAGTAAATTTTGCCATTTCAAAGTAATGACCATTATTTAAATTTTTGCTTCACAAAGGCAACTGAAATTAAAAATGCCACCAATACAAGTGTCACTTTCATTGTGGCTCTCACTGTCACATACAACAGCCTCTGCCCTTATACTAAACACCCACGGACTACCATCAGGGTGGCCACAGGCTAAATGCATGCCTCCTGGGAGCATCCCCAGCCTGGGCCCATCAGTGGCATTACCCTTTACTGCAATGAAGAGATGAAATTCTTTGCTGTGAGGGTGGTGAGGCACTGTCACAGGCTGCACCAAGAGGTTGTGGATGTCCCAACCTTGGCAATGTTAACGGCCAGGTTAGAAAAGGCCTTGAACAACCCAGCATAGTGGGAGGTGTCCCTGTGGCAAGGGGATTGGGATTAGTTGGTCTTTAAGGTCCCTTCAAGCCCTTAGCATTCTACCATTCTATGATGCTACGCACCAGCGCCTCGGGATGCTCCTTGCCATCACTGACTGCACCAGCAGAAATGCCAGCTCCACGTCTGCCTTGTGATTTTGTGCAGTTACCTCGAGTACACAGTAGAAACACTTCCAGTGAATCCACCCTCTGCTCCCAGGCCAGCCATGCTGGCCTTGTGCAGGGCTCAGGAGCAGCCACCTCATCCAGATCCTTTCCTACAGCTACTGCAAAAAATCTGCTTATGCAGGAAGCTCTTCCTTCCTTCCTTCTAGTCATGGACTGAAACCAAAATCTTACTACTGTGATGAACACTTGTGAGAAAAAACCTCAAGTTTAAACCAAATACATTTCTAATGTTGATAAGCTTCGTGTTTGGAGCACTTTGGATGAACTGGACAAAGCTCATCCATACTAGTATATACTACTAGTACTACTATTTTAGAGCAAATTTCAAAACTGATTCAAATTTTAAATTAGATTAAAATATTAGTGATTAAAAACAGTTTCAATCTTAAATACTGAAGAATGGAATATCTGAAAGGATTTGTGTTATGAAGTTTTCTTTTAGAATTTTAATCATATTTTGAATTTAATATTTTCTTTTTAGATGTTGCTGTATCAAGGCATGCAGGTAGTCACAGGTACTTGCAGATCCTGAAACAACATGCAAATTCACTGATACAATCCACATGCAATAATACAGTAGTACATATACGGGAAAAGAGATGGTTAATTTCATCTTTATGAGTTTGTAGTTTGGAAAATCAAAATCTTTATACTACATTTTCTGTACTACTCTTAATGAGAGAGCATAAGGCAAAGAAAGGAGATAAGCATTTCAGTATTTTACTCTTAAATCTCTGGGGGTAACAGCCTAAGAGGTACTGACTGAAGGGCTCCTTATTTTCCAGGTTGATGTGTCTCCCATTTGTGTCCCATGAAACAAGTGAAACTTGTTGATGAAATGCCAGTTGTACCTACTAACCTGTCACAATGTAAGAAAAGAGGAATCTAAAAAGCTTAAGAAAAACAATTCAAACTAATTCTAACTTGAAGCTTTCAGAAAAAAAAAAAAAAACACTTTCCAGAAATACCTCTGAATTTCTTGTTTGAAACATTTGTGTTCACCAATTCACAAAAAAAACCCCAACAAAACCTCCCTATGAATTTCATTAAAATAGCATTTTATAATTGTAATAACTGTTTTCAAAGGAAAAAAGCTTGGCCATTCCAAGAGATGAAACAAAATGTAGAACAGTCTATTCACTCTCTCAGTGAAATACTGGTGAAATCCTTATTTATTAAACAATAAACAGTGATAAGATCTTTTGCTTCCCTTATTTTACAGACCAAAAGTTATGCAAACACCACAGTGGAAGGAAGACAACATGACAAACTGAAAAGGTCAGGAAATTCTAAATGAAAAAAATATGCCATCTTTAAATTTCTTTGAAGCCTTTTCCAGCTCCCACTGCCCAGCAGCAGTGCGTAAGAGAGCAAGAATTTCTCAGCCACAACAACTACAAAGGACAAGGACTCGAAACTGGAAAATCTCAGGCAGCCTGTCCTGGTTCTGCACCAGGAGCAGCAACATCCATACACTGAAAATCTTGATAGTCGTTTCTCTGAATGAATCACCTACCACTGCATCAGATCCTGCAGCAGAGATGGCAG